GTGGGTGCTTGTGGTGTGGTGTGTGTGTGCGGCGATAGTGTGTGTGTGTGTGTGTGTGTGTGTCGTGTGTGTGTGTGTGTGTGTGTGTGTGGTGTGTGTGTGTGTGTGTATGTATGTATGTATGTATGTATGATATATATAATATTATGATTTGCCAACTTTTTCACACAGACCAATTCTTCATAATTTCGAAAGTTGTTGCGTTTTTTAAAAATTTTGAATTTTTATAATAATATATATATGTACCTATATATATATATCACCGAGATACACCACCACTGTATCCATCTTCATTTTGCATTGACATTTCTAAATATCTACGGACATCGATGGCGAAGATTTGGATTGAAATGCTCTGCCGTCGTTACGGCATGCACGAGCACACGAGGCGCGCGCCACATAAGCCAACTGGAGAGCTAATGTTGCTTTTCACCACCGCCCCGCCAGCCAGACATGTCTGCCCGCGCATGTCTCATGACCTCGAATCGGCGTCGATCTCAAACGAGTAGCCTCATCTTTGCTAATGAAAGGAAGACATATATATGTATATATATATATATATATATAATATATATATATATAGCATAGAATATAGTTACATTAGTACTCCTTTCATTTTTTGTTCGGACTGGACTCCGCAGAAGACAAACGCGCCGCGAAACAGTTAAATCCACTTCACGTCTGCACGACTAAGCCAATTTTTCTTTAGGCCTACTATATACTATACATAATTAAGTTATACTATGGACGCTGTTCCCGTTAAAATAGTAGTAGTTTAGGGTAACACACACACACACACACACACACAACACACAACACACACACACACACACACACACACACACACACACACACACACACCACACACACACCACACACACACACACACACACACACACACACACACGCACACAAAATTATATATAGATATAAAGTTTTGTATAATAAAACGTTATAACGACGAAACAAAATTGATTCACCGCGTACTGCCTAGAGCCTGTGTTTTATCGCAAGAAAGTAGGCGCTTACTTCTGAACGGCGTGGGGCGGATAGTGCGCGCTTCGCACATCGCCTGTTGGAATTATGGTTGAAAATGTGTTTCCCAATGTATATATCACGAATTAATTTTTTTTTTTAATTATTTCAGAATGAGGATGATGGGTTATACGCGTATTGCAGTGTGCACACACTGATTAGAACCGGATCATTGTGTCATATTATGAGCTATTATATCAGTTACGAAAATCAGTCATGTGTTACATAAATATCGAAGGTAATATTAAATGAACATCATGATCACATTAAAACTTTCGGCGTGTGATGCCCCAACACTGACAGCTTATTCTTGTCATTGGCGCAATAAAATCGGATGCTCTACTTATCGTGATACGAGAGGTTAGCGCAGTCACGCCGTTGCTTGCAAGTTAAACATTATCAATTTTCGGTTACCGATATATGGCTTAAACCATTTGCGCGTATCTTGCTAAGATGAAGAGAATGACTAGCGCTTAGGTAACTGTATAAACACTTTCGAAACAAAATCGTGGCTCAGTTTCTCAACAGATGCAAACAGCTGTGTACACACGCGTGTAACTCGTCATTTCTTATGAATTAACACATATGCATACTCACGTGTTAGATCAATCAATGGGACCGGACATTATATGATAACATTACATAATGAATGATTACTTAGATGACACTCGTTATAGATCGGAAATCATGCTGAACAAAACGGGTTCACGTAATTACACAACAAAACCGAGCTATTTATAGAAAACAGCAGAAACGGTAAGAATTGACAATGACGTTTACGCGTATATGTGTATATAGCTTCACTTATTAGCTAGCTAGTTTAGTTAGTGACGTCACGCTTACAGTGAGCACTTAAACGTTGAACCCGTCTGATGGCGCCGTGGGTTCCCCTAAGTATACCAACGCCCAAAATATTGGGATTGTCCAATCTGCCCGAAACATTAATCTTACGCGGTGTCAGTATCGATAAAACTTGCTAGCGTCATATTTATATATATACGATATATATATATATATATAGATATATATATTAATATATATATAATATACCGGGCAAGATACCAACGACGTGATATGGATGTGAGTTAAACTATAATACGATCGCGCACACGGTCCCCCGATTCGTATGCATAATCATCGCCGGGGTGCCGTTCCTCATAAATATTCGGGCCCTGACATTAATGCATTGGAATTGCGATGGAGGGACGCTAATTGCTTTCAACATCAGCCTGTTAGTGGTAGTGATGATGCAGTATTCGGGCAGTTATGAATATACTTGGGCTGTCTGCCTGGCGATCGTGTACGTACGCTCATACGTACGCATTACGCGTTATGTATAAGAAAAATATGCATGGAAAGCCATGAAGCATCTGCGCACAGGATGCTAAATATACGATTTCGCCGCATCATCGCAATCATTTGACGTAACAATATCGCGTCAATATTAATAATTCAACGGGCAGCCTTCACCGTTAATTACACGATAACGTAGTTCGTTGTTCGCTAGTGTTGCTGTAAACCGTATATCATTGAAAAGGAACTGCCGTAACTTGGGCAGTTTATCATACACAGATTATATCAATGAGCCCACGAAGTGCAATGCGTGTGGTTTAATGGTATTTCAATTACACATCATTACGCTTATAATTGAGAAACTTTCACCTGATAACGTTTGATGGGCACTCTGATTGCACTCGGCAGAGGAAAACAACAGGGCGAATAGCCGGGCAACGAAACGCAGGCCAGTTTCCAGGTTTTTATCGAAAATGTTACGCTAACGAAATGCGCGCTGTGTCTATTCTTTACGAGAAACGGAGGCGACACATTTTCCCCAAAAAACAAGCATTCAGAAACGAGACGCTTGATAACAGCTCTCACGACTAGTGATTTGTTTTCAATCTCCGATGTTCCTGTTTTCGAAATTACTCGAAGACGGCTTTGCCACTGCCGCGACGTGATTCGTGTCATATTTGGCGGCTCTGCTACGTCCGAAATTGCTCGGGCTGTTGGTGCTGCTAACACCACAAACCGATGTGAGAAGAAATGTGAAGTTCTCGCCGTGCGCTCGTACCAGATCAATGCCGATGTTATCATGCGATGCGGTGGTTTGGCGTTTACATCAGACCTTTAAAGCAGATCTTTCAATTAGATTTTCGACTCCGCCGTAAAACGACCACAGATTTCACGCTTTTTTGTGACATAATATAGCGTCCTGCCGTTCAAAATTTAGCGGCCCTGAACCACTACGAGACTGTTAACGTGGGCAATCGATGATTTACGAACGACGTCACGTTGTCAGCCATGGACACAGCTTCCGCGAGCTGTCACGCTGACGAGGAGAGCGCGAGGAAGGAGCCGCGCGATAACGCCAGCGTACGTGAGCATTTGGAGTGTGCGTGCGTACGTACGTGCGTGTCCGTGTGTTACCATGTGTGCCTTGTGTGTGTGTGTGTGTGTGTGTGTGTGTGGGTGTGTGTGCTGTGTGTTTGTGTGCGCCGCTTCGATCCAACGCGAGTGTGTGTGTGTGCATTGTGTGTGTGTGCTGGTGTGTGTGTGTGTGTGTGTTCTGTGTACGTGTGTACCGTGCGTGCGTGCCGTGTTGTTGCGTGGCGTGCGTGTCGTACGTGCGTGGCGTCGTCGCGTGTGTGTATGTATGTGCGTGTGTACGTGCGTGTGCGCGAAAAATGTCGACAAATAATGGCGGATCTGAAACCAGCCGCTTTCTCCGGAGTGCAGCCGGTCACCCTGTCTCCACCACGTTCACCCGGTGCTCCTTTTCCCCTCTATCTCTCTATACGTGCAGCCTGCTCTGGGAGCAAGGCGTCGGAGAGAGACAACGTATAAGAGTCGATAAGAAGGGTTTCCCGATTCCGCGCCAGTATGTAACCAAGTGCTCACACAGAGTCACCCTCTCTCACAGCGTGCTTCAGTCTGTCATGCCCTCCCAAAAGATATATCGATCATCTATACTGGAAGAGCGGGCCTACGTATTTCTAACAGCAGGCCCATGCGTACGTACGCTGCTGCTGCTGCTTCTTTCTGATGCGCGCGGAGGGTTGGGCAGGCGGCACACGCGCAAGTTAATTGTGTTATGGATATTTATAACTCGGTGTCGGTGCGTCATTGACCGCGTAATCGTATCTACGATGGCCTGGATGTGCACTGGTTTGTTGCTCCGCTCCCCCCCCAACCGTCCTGCGACGCGGTAGCTATACCGCACGGGTGATGAGGGCAGGTGACAAGGTATCTATACAAATTCTGCGGTACCAGATAGGAAGAGAGCTAGGGAGGAAAAGAGCGAGATGTAGCTAGATAGAGAGAGGACGCATATGGATGGGGTTTCTATCATAATCTCCTAAAGGCAGACTCAATAGGTAATGTGGGCATGAAGTTCTCTATAGCTGTATATAGATATATATAGTTGTATAGTTGTATAGAGTTGTATATAAATTTATATCGTTGTATATAACTTTATATAGCTGTATATTGTTGTATATACTTATATGTAGTTGTACATGGTTGTAAATAGTTGTATATAGTTGCAGAGGAGCCAGAACGCTGCGTTGTGGGAGACCATTTTTCTGTCTATACGCCATCTGCTGCGGTTACCGTTGAGATCAACGAAAAACCGCCTGATGGCCAACAGATTCTTGATGAATTCTCATATCCTTTGCGAACTGGTATAGTTTATTGGTGAGAATGTTGTGGTTATCTGTGTAGTAAGCTGTGGAAAGGTCAACAAAGGCAGCTCCAGTAATCAGCCCTTTTTCGTACCCGTCTTCGATGAGCTGTGTAAGGTTGAGGAGGTGGCTAGTACAGGATTTTCTTGGTCTAAAACCTGCCTGCTCTGGAATAAGGTGTTCATCTACGAAAGGGGCCAAACGGTTGGGAATGATTCTTTCAAAGAGCTTGTATGTATGGCAGAGCCATGACATGGCCCTATAGCTATTTTTGCCAGCTGAGTCTTTACCAGGCTTCAGTATTGCAACCACTCTGGCTTTCCTCCACAGCTTTGGGATGTTGTAGTACATAAACAGCTGTTAAACATTTGAGAAAGAAGGGAGTGATGGAGTGGATAGTGATAATTATAGAAGAAATGTACAAAGGATCAAAAACTACAGTGAGAACAGCGTTTGGAGACAACAGTATTCGATGTGAAGGTGGGTCTGCACCAGGGGTCTGCACCAGGGGTGAAGCTGAGAGAAACTGGTGGATGGGGGCTGTTATATGCAGATGATCTTGAAATAGTGGCGGAAACTGAATAGGAGCTACAGGAGAGAGTGCTGCAGTGGCAGGAAAGGTTACAGGGAGGAGGGCTGAGAGCAAATACACGTAAGTCAGAGGTGATGATAAGCAGTAAGAAGGGTTGGAGGTGAACGGATACAGATAGTCGACAGCACCGGTGTAGAGATGAGGCAGATGAACAAATTCAAGTACTTGGGAGCGACGATGGCAGAGGCAGGAGGATGCGAAGTTGAAATCGCGGATAAAATAAGGGCAGCATGGAGAAAATTGAGAGCGGTTTCAGGAGTGGTGTGCGACCCAAGCATGCCCAGAAAACTTAATGTAAAAATCTATGGGAGAGTCGTGAGACCCGTGCTAACGTATGGAGCGGAAACCTGGGCCATACGTAGAAATGAGGAAATTCGGTTGCAGAGAACGGAGATGAGGATGTTGCGATGGATACTGGGAGTTTCACTGAGAGAAAGTAGAACAAATGAGGAGGTACGGCGAATAGCTGGAGTAAGAGACATTAAGGAAGTTGTAATGCAAAGTAGGATGAGATGGTATGGGCATGTGGTTAGGAAGGAAGATGAGGAGCAAACGAGGAGAGCATGGCAGGAGCCGGTGAGAGGAAGACTGACGAGAGGGCGACAGAGAATTAGACAGAGGGATGGAGTGGAGCTGTGGAGGCAGAGATGAGAATGCTTGGAGTAACGGAGGACGATGCGGCCGATCGAGGGAGGTGGATAAGAATTATCAACAGGGAGGTCGGCCCCTAGCTGGCGTCTCAGTGTGAATCATCCGCGAGAGACTAAGACCAAGAAGAATACTTGCACATACTCGAACATGTTTAACCTCTAGTAAGCTTAGATTTTATATATTTGTTCTTACACTATATAATTAGTTATGGGGATTTAATTGTTTTCATTATTTAAACTTTCAATGTGAGCCCGCATGTCTTGAGAAAATCCCTTGTCTTTCGTCATTTCGTGTAGCACATCGCCAACAAGAGAATCAGTCAGCTGAATATAGAACGTGTGTCAAATCTGTACATATGTAGAAGTAAAATGGCTTGTGGAACTTTGCTCTTTTATCTGAAATAATGAGTCTCTGCGCTGCGACAACTCAGGTTAATACATGGATACTAAATTACTAATACAGCCAACACAACAGGTTGAGGCAGCACAGATTACCATGACATGTTATTGTTGACTCGTTGAACGTACCTGTATTTCTTCTAATACATTGAAATCAATGTTAAAAGATGCCATTTCAGTGTTGATGATAATAATACAATCGACCGAAAATCATTATTATTGTAAATAAGGTATGTTATGGCCTTGCTTTGAATGTTATCACCCGCTGTGAAGACCACGCGATTTCCAGCGATGAAAACAACGTAGGCCCCTAACCAGAGACCGCCTGTCGATGATTGATTGTGATTGTCATTGTGTCATCGTGTGTCATTGTGTCATTTGTTAGCTCCTTAGCGCGCTGAAGTCAGCTATGCACGTAATTGTATATATCATGATCAGGGGTTAATAATGACAATTTCAAACGTTGTCATTATTAACCCTTGATATATACGAACACATGAAATGCTGACTTCAGCGCGCTAACGAGCAATTACAGCATAGATATTTGCAGGAGACCATATTTGTCATTATTATAACCCCTGTAAATATCTATGCTGTAATTTTTCGTTAGCGTGCTGAATTCAGCATTCCACTGAGGAGTTTGTAGGTAAGAGTTGAACCGCTCGCGCACAGACTCCTCTAATGGAGTTTCCAACCGAGTAACTATAGTCATGTAAACCCGAAAACAATAATTATATAGGCCTACACTACATTATATTATTGTTCTCGGTTACAACCACATATAGACCATAATGACCAGCACACACAATCTCATAGTCTATCTTCTGTGAGTTTATTTATACAGGCCCGCGCACGGTAAGATTATATGTTGTAGATGAGCACTTGAATGGCTCTTGAATTAATACTATTTTTTATTAGGCAACATTGTTTATTTTTGTTTACAATCATTAAAATATTGAAAACGATCGAAACTGCCCAAGAAAAGTGCCTGTGAAATTCTGGGCAGCATTTGCACCACATATATATATATTAATAGTCTATTTGTATTTTTGGAGTAGAAATAAAGCAGTAATAAAAGATATACTCTATTTAAAATTCCTGACGACAATAAATGAACATCTGGCCACTAGATGGCACTGCAATTGATTAACGTGCGTAAGAAGAACGCTTTTGTTGGTTAGTTTTTATTAAAATCTTCGTTTTTTCTCGTTTACCGCCATCTATTTCGTGCAAAGTCTTCATATAACATATATGAAATACATTGTACCCTTTTAGTTATAAGTAGTTGTGTAAAAATGGTAAATAGTGCAACATTCGGCAACTTGTGCGTAGAAATGGCTGCGAGTTCAACATGCACTGCACTGTGCAGTGCTACATAATCATACATACAATGCATGCAGCTCAGTCAATACAATAGTCAATACTAACACTAACAGTAACAGTTACACTAAAGTCTTATTAACTCACTACCCTAGCTACTGCACTTAAGATGGAATTTCGGAATGAGATATATTTACTCGTTTGCATCAGTAATGACAGTATGATAACTATAGCCGGCTGCATAAATAATACGTGCTGTTACTCATGAAACGTGTGTGTGCCTGTGTGTGTCCATGACCATGGGCGTGCGGGCCCAAGGATAGAGAACATGGGTCCCAATAAAACCAATGTGCCTAACCCTAACCATAACCCTAACCTATTACATTGATATAATATTATATTTATATTGATGTAATTGGTAAATGACATTGGTTTTATTGGGACCCATGTTCTCTATCCTTGAACCGGCATGCGCGCGCGTGTGTGTGTGTGACAGTGTGTTTGCATACCCATGGGTTAGTGCATGTGTAGTGTAGTTTATTGGATGCCAACGAATAAACGTAAAATTGCTCGAAAGTCACGTTTACACTCTAGTCGTGAACTTGTTTTTAGAGCTTTGAACTACACGTTCCAAGAACTTTAGCCAGGATGGGGTGGTCAACCTTGCCATCAGTGGATGTACCTGAGGTTTGGAAAAAGAGGGTAAAATCTGAATACATGAGACTTCGTCAGTTACGGCGATTTCGACGTGCTGATGCTATAAAAGTAAGTAGCGGTTTAAGAATAACATGGAATTAGTGTAAATCAGAAATGCCAAACAGTAATACCACCAGGCTCAATTTAGACAGTTATAAATGTTTAGCCCTTCAGCTGTTTTTGTACTAATTTCTATCAAAGATTTGCCATGCTGTTACATCATTCCATTGTTATTGAAGTGGAATAGGGTAGCACCAGCGTCCAGGGCTCGAATTTCCCTATTGTTAACTCGCAAAAGGCGTGTCGATATTGAGAAATTGCGAGCAGAAAATATAAGCACTTGCTATTTTCTGCGAGTGGAAATTTATAGCATACACCGGTAACACCGCATACATTATCCCTGTCGAGCACGGAAAGAATATATTTCATGATTAATGGTCAAACTGGTCGGTCAAATTGCCTAAACAAGTTTCAATTTGCCGTTATTTACCGTACGCTGTTTACACTTTCATAATGCCGATCGCTTCCGGCAGCAGGCCCAAACGGAACTTCGCTGGTTCCCTGCGCGAATGATAGTCTTATTCCGAACCCTAGCGGAGATCGCGGGAACTGGTCAGCGAAAAATGTATCAAAAGTGACTGGGGGTGCAGCTTGAACACTGCGACACTTGATCAGCTTCAGAATTTCAATTTCTGGCCGAAAACTGGTCCAGTTTGATCCCAACCAAGCTATCCGGAGGTGGTGGTTGGCTGGCAAGAAAACCAAATGCCCCACCATTGCCCCATAGGCAATAGATTGACACTGATCTTATGTTTCAGTGTTCAAACTGCAGATATTGCTTGTTACATGACACATTCCATTGGGAATTAACTGGATTGCTGGTGGTTATAGCTTCCAGATATGTCGTAGGGCCTACTAATAGTACTACACAGTACCTGACATCGACAATGCATGTCACTGAATTTAGATGCCATGTGGATTCTTCTTAATAAAATTATTCACAATGATCCTCACGAAGAGATCGTTTCGTTGTTCAATAAATAATAAAGCCAGTGTTAAGGTTTTATATAAATTTTGATTTGATTCATTTCAAGTTACATTTTATATGCAAAATATATAAGAAGGCAAGAACACAATCACACACATGGCATGAAACAATCAGATTCACATACATAAATCACAACATAAGCTCATTCCAAAGATTACTAGTAATAGTATGCAAAAAGTGTATGTAATATTCAAAAAGTAGTTTGTTATACAAAAAAAAATTGCACGTTAGAATTTATTTTAGCACGTGGATTTTTTAGGCACTCGCGAAAAATCGCAAGTGGCTAAAATTGCGAAATTCGTCTCCTGAGCACAGTTCAAGGAACTAGATTAACTTACTGTTTTTTAAACATTTGGGATCTTATGATTATGCGTTATTTATGTTCAGTATATATTTATCTTCTTTTGTCATGTTTAAGGTCTAAGCAGCGCGTCCTCTTATTCGTTTTGTTGCATTTTTATGTGCTCATAGTGTGACGTAAATTCCAGGATGCATACTTTTTCAGACTGCATTTGCAGCAAACAGAAAACTGGTATCGGAACTTACAGAAGCCGTTGATGCACGGATGCAGGGCGAGACGATACAAGCTTATCCTGTGTCTAAAACCTGTGCTTACTTATCTGTATCTCAGAAGGTGAATGTTTGTAATCACATTGTATAACTATGACAATAGTTAAGTTCCGTATAATGTGTTGGTTTTCTGTTACGATTTATAATCCTGAGTCAAATATCCTGAAAACGTGATCAGGTTAAAATGGATCTTGGGAATATCGTAGTTAAGGAAGCAACAGTTCTACAGTGGGTTGGTTTTTGAAGCTCGCAAAGGCTTATGTTAAAATTGTTGGTATGCCATATAGTTTAGTCATTGAATAAGATAAACAAACTTGTTAATTGTGAAGTTGTTAAGGCTAAATGGGAGTAGTTATTACGTAACTAAATGCAAGTGTGTGTATGAGCTGTGACAGAATAGGACCTAGTGATAATAACCAGAATAGGATGCAATCAGTTACGTTAATTTTTTTGTGGCATAAACTTGATTTTCTTTATGATTTTACAGGCAGAAGTGAAAAGTGGAATGAATGTAGAATTAAAGGAGCAGTCAACAGTTATACATATGCTACCATCCGTTACCAATGTACCAACTATGTACAGTTGGGCACCACTCCAGCAGAATTACATGGTGCGTATTACAGAAATTATAATATCCAATCAAGGGCTGTTCCCTTGTAAGTCCTAGGTCCTTATGGATAGTGACTGTTAATTTTATGAGTCTAAGGCTTACTCAGAGGGAGAGCTTGATGAATTACTTGCGATGTTCTTAAATCAGTTGACAAAGCCGGGTTGCAACGGACACACCGTTATACCCAGCGCATTGCTAAACCCAGCTCTGCAGTCCGTTACCCCTGCGCATCAGACGTTGCATTGAATACACCCAACGTGCCGTGCACGCCGCATGGAGAATCAGACGGTGCTGCATAAACATTGTACGCATGTAATGCTACCTGCGTCCACACGCGGCGAGCGCCTGTCCTCCGATAGACGCGCACTTTGATCGTTGCTGCCCGCACCATGTCTACACACCGCCCAGTGTGACGGCACTGCATAAACATTGCGCGCACGCGTAATGCTAACCGAAGACACGCTCACATCTTATTCTTTGCTCCACTTAACTGACACTCTTTGGCCTCGCACCAGGTGTAGAATGAGAAGGGGCTGCATAAACTTTGCGTGCGTGTAATGATAACCGAAGCCATGCCTGCGTTATTTCTCTGCTCAACTGACACACGTTGGCATCCCCCCGCGCGCACGCTCACAGGTGTAGAACAAGATTGTGCTGAGTGAACATTGCGCAGCCGAATCCGCGCTCGCGTTATATTTCTCTGCTCAACTGACACACGTTGGCATCCCCCCGCGCGCACGCCTCACCAGGGTACGAACACCAGACTTGTGCCGCACTCGACACATGCCCGAATCCACCAGCTCCGCGTTATACTTTCTCTCGCCAACTGACACACACGTTGCGCATCCCCCTCCGGCGCCGCGCGCCACCGCCTCCACAGGTGTAGGAACAAGATTGCGCTGACTGAACCATCTGCGCAGCCCGAATCGCGCGTCCGTCTAGGCGCCTTATAAGCTTTCTCCTCTCTACTGCACACCCGTCGGCAACGCCCCGCCCACGCGCACCGCTCAACTCGAAGGTCTGTACGAACAAGCATTCTGCTGAGCTGAACATCGCGTCCAGCCGAATCCGCGCCGGCCGTTATATTTCTCGCTCACCTGACCTACAACGTTTGACCGCAGCACCCGCAGGCTCACAGGTGTAGAACAAAGTGCGCTGAGTCGAACAGTGCGGCAGCCGATCCCCGCGCTCGGCGTTATATTTCTCCTAGCTCAAACTCGACGCACGTCTGGCGCCACCGCGCCGGACGCAGGGTCGACGGAGAGACGGTGCTGCACAACATTCCGTACATGGGCGACGAGTTTCTCGACCAGGACACGTCGTTCATCGAGGAGCTGATCAAGAACTACGAGGGCAAGGTGCACGGCGACCGGGGCGCCGAGCCGTGGTCTCATCGACGACACGCGCGACGCCGCTGTTCGTAGAACTCGTCAACGCTCTCGTCGCGTTCCAGGACAAGGAGGAGCCTTCCGCCTCCACCGCCGCGTCGTCGCGCGAGACGCGCCTCGGTAAGGGTGGAGTGTGGCATTCGAGACAGGCGCCGACTGCGTGCAGCGCGAACACGGTGCGGAGCTCGGCGCCCTCGGTAACCGGGCCTTGGCAGCCGTCGGTGAGACGACCCGCCTCGTAAGGGTGCGGCTGTGGTGAGAGACCCGTCGCCCTCGGTATACCGGTGCGGCGTGGTGAGAGACGCCGCCTGTCGGGTTAAGGGTGCGTCGTGGTAGGATAGCACTCGTGCCTCGTAAAGTGGCTGTCGGCGTGGTGAGAGACGCGCCCTCGGTAAGGGTGCGGCGTCCGTGAGAGCACCGCGCCTCGTAAGGGTGCGCGGCGCTGGTGAGAGACAGCGCCTCGGTAAGCGGTGGCCGGCCGTGGTCCCGAGAGCACCGCCCTCGCTAAGCGGTGCGGCGTGGTGAAGCACGAACCGCGCCTGCCGGGTACAGGGCTTGGCGCTGGTCGTGAGGCGCGCCTGCGGTAAGAGCGTGTGGCGTCGGCTGAGAGATGCGCCTCGGTAAAGGGTGCCGGCGGTGCGCTCGAGCCAGCACGCGGCCCGGTAGCGTGTGCAGGCGCGAGGTGAGACCGCGCCGCGCCCTCGGCTTAACGGTGCGGCGTGGTGCACGCACCCGCACGCCCTCGTCAAGCCGTGTCGGCGACGTGCGCTCGCGAGCGCCGCCCGCCTCCGCTCACACGGGCTGCCGCCGCTGTCCGCACGCCAGATCGCCCGCCCTCGGTAAGCCGTGTGCCGCCGCTGGTGAGCAGACCCGCCCCTCCCCGGTCGAGCGGTGCCTGGAGTCGGTGCGAGACGCGCCTCGGTAAGGGTGCGGCGTGGTGAGAGACGCGCCTCGGTAAGGGTGCGGCGTGGTGAGAGACGCGCCTCGGTAAGCCGGCTGCCCGGCCGCCTCCGCGCCTGAGCCCACCGGCGGCCGCCTCGCCCCCCCGCCGGGCCGCCGCGTAAGCCCGTCGCGGCGTGGTGCGGCACGACGCGCCCCTACCCCACGCCCGCCTGCCGCCCCGTGCGCTGTCCGAGACATGACCCTCGCCCCGTACGCCCACTCGGTGCGAGACGCGCCTCGGTAAGGGTGCGGCGTGGTGCGAGGCGCTCCTCGCTAAGGGCGCGGCTTGGTATGCGAGACATGATCAGATGAGGTGCTTTATGAGATGCGCCTTGGGTAGGGTGTGCAGCGTGATACGAGACATGCCTGGGATTCATTAAAAATGCGTTTTGTTCATGCATCTCATGCTGGTGCATGTTTTTGAGTTCACATTGTTAAAATAATTGCCATAATTAGGGCTGTAACGATACACAAGCCTTTCGATTCGATTTGGTTCTCGATATTAGCCTCTCGATAACACTCTACAGTATATAGCGTAGTGCCGCCATCTATTGGAGGATAAAAGTGGTATCGGAGTGGAATCGAAAATACGGGGAAAAATATCGAGGCTCGGATCGATGGAAGAGAATCTCGATCCGATTCGATTTCGGTGGATCGTTACAGCCCTACCCATAATGCTATCATGCAATGAGAAGTTTACTAATGTGTATGGCTGAGTGGAAAAGATATTTGATAACCACTGAGGATTTGTTGAAGAACGAATATGTGAGTCTTTCCTTTTATATAGGTTCAGATGCAGGTCCATCCACTTCTAAAAATCCAAGCACATCAAGTGGTCTTAGCACAGTCACTAGAGGAAGCTTCCCTGGTATGCTTGAATAGTTTAGGCATGAGAATTTCCTGTGGATTCGCGGATTTCTGGGTTTTAGTTTTCATTTTAGTCATTCTTGAGATTGATGCAAAAACGAATAAAAAGTTGAGGGGGAGGAAGGGGGGGGGGGGTAAGGTGTACTTTTTTTGTCAAAATGGACGCCATTTTTAATTTAAACTTAAAACCGCCACATGAAACATTGAAATTTTCATAGAAAATGACTAGACTGCATTGTTAGTCACGAAATTGGCCTTTTACTAAAAACAGAATGGACTTGCAATTTTCCCCAGAATACATGGAAATGGCCTATCTGCCCTTCCAAATGTCAAACATTTCCTTGGTGGGCATGCCCCTAGACCCCCCTAGCAGGACAGTGTGCTATGCACACTGTTATAGTGCCTTTGGCATGAATTTAAATATTTCCTCCAAAAACATGTTCTCATGCCTGATAGTTAACTACTATGCTAAACCTACTGTGATGCTAGAAATTTCTGCTTTACAATAATACCGATTTAAATGCAACATAGTATTTTTCATAAAAAATTATACCATAATATGTAGGCAATCTTATCAAAGGAATATTACTTATTGATAAAATTACTAATGAGCATTTTTAAGATAATCGTGAAAAACATTTTAGGAAATTTAACTCGGCAAGTTATCATTACAGAGACGGTTACTACCAGGGCCAGTGCTGCTGGAAGCACTTCACGTAGTATTGATGCCAGCAAGGTTGCTGGAGATTCTATTAGTACTGCTACCACTACATCTCCTCTCAAATCCCCTCCACCAGGTACAGTGTGAACGTGCACCCAGGGGAAATTTCATGATGATTTTATGTGATAAAATGTCCGTGTTTATTAATAGTATATCATTTTTTACATGTAAAGGTGTGCTGCAGCCAATATACACCCTGCTACAAAACATTTTAGATGCATATTATTGGTAAAAACAAGCCCGAATACACTGACAGAAAATTTAAATTTTTATCACTTTTTGCAGATGCAAGCACCTCGAAAGTGGGAATGTCGCAAGCTGGTACAAGTGCTGATGAGGTAGACAGATCAAGCTTGACTACACCATCAGCCAAAGCTGCATTTCCCAAGGACATTGTCTTTGAAGCCATAGCAAGAATGTTTCCTGATAAAGGAAAGAGCATTGACCTGAAGGAAAAGTGAGTGGATGAGACATAGATAAAGCTGTGATTTTCGGAATTGTCATCATCTAGCGATTGAACCAGAGAGAAATCGGGCTAGTTACGCCTGCCTTGTGACATTTCTCGCTCTCTTCCTTAGATAGATGGATATCTTTGTCTGCTACAGGTACCGTGAGCTAACGGAACGCATTGACCCTCATTCCCTGCCGCCACAGTGCACTCCCAACATAGACGGGCCCGATGCGAAATCGGTTCTGCGCGAGCAGACCATGCATTCCTTCCACACACTGTTCTGCAGGCGCTGCTACAAATACGACTGCTTTCTACACCGTAAGTGCTACTCAGACTGAGCTCACTATTATGCAGACAAAATGTTCAAGTACTCGTTTGTGGCTCTAGGAAAGCATCGGGGACAGATCAAGGGACAAAGCCTCGTAAAAGTCTCGTAATGCCCCCATTTATTTTACAGCCTATCATCCTACTCCAGCGCCAGTAAAAAAGAAACCTGACATCAAGATCGACCCAGAACCATGTGGTCCTGGTTGCTACAAGCATTTTGTTAAGGTAGCTCATTGAAGAATATCTCTACGCTTTCATTTCGTGTAGATCGTAAGGGGCTAGTTAAATGTGTATCCCTCCACAAATTCACGAGTAAAATATTTTAATCACAGATTCTTCAACAAACATGGTTCGTGCCAACGAGGTAGAATGATTTGTGTGTAATAATTGCATTCTGGTATTTGTGCATTCATCAGCAGTAAACAACAGATCGATACTGAGGTTAATTGTTTTGATGTTAATATGTTGGTTTATTACTATGCTGTACAGTCACATAACAGACCTATCACAGTCACAGAAAAATTGGCTAACAAATCAAATGATCTTTAACAAGACACTTGTGACTTCTAGCTGCAGAAACCAAGGGAACCTAGTGAACCAGACAGCAGCTCTGGAAAAGAAGACTCAAACAAGGTGAGTTATTTTTCTTGAGAAATCATTGTGATACCAGCTCATATGATATAGTGCTCTTCTTGATAGAAATTTTAACACTCAAATAGTGTTTTTCTCTGAACGGTTTCTTTATCATCGATTTGGAATAGTTTGACATCTTATTCAAACATTTTTAATGATTTTTTTTTACTTTTTTATTTCATTAAAGTTTGTGAGGTAGTAGTGTTAGGGCCAGTATACAATGTGACAATGGATTGGTATACAGTCAAGTTGGTGATGGCAGCTACCTCTGTAAAACCTGTCTAGGACAATTTTGGCATTTCCACTGAGGGACAGTTAGACATTGAAACCACTCTGTAGAACATACTTCTATCTATAAGGGAGAGTTTTGAAGGTATCTCTTAAGTGACCTTTATACACTGGTTTGACTGCATAGCTCCCAAAGATTAAAGCCCCACTAATGTTGCCCGACATTGAATATATGGGGTGAAATTCGAGCAAGTCGTCTGACCGTTTGAATGTTCAGACCTGATGTGATTCTGATTGTATCTTGCAGACGTATACTGATGAATGGTCGGTGAGTAGGCACAGGTTTGCAGATGCTGTTGTGTGTAACTGCATGATCTGTGCTGCTACCCGTCTTCATAGCGAAACCAGTGCAGAGTGCTGGCTTCTGCTTTGCTAGAACTTTTATGATACCTTATGCCCTTGCTGGGATTCGTTATACTTGTTTCAGTGGCTGGTGGTATAGTTACTGTAGCATAAAAGAAGCTTGTTTTTGTCATGTTTTTCATTACTAGACCAACTAAAATGTACTTTTGAACATTGCAATGCTTTTGGTCGCATTAATTCTTTATGCTGGTTGAGGTTTGTGCTTGGATTTTAACAAGCTTGACATGGCTAGGGCTTAAATGTTTCAACTCTGGCTAGAAAAGACGTGAAAACGTCAATAAGTGGCCAGGTGGATGTACTTTGTAGTAGCTACATAATATGGCGACTGGTTTAACTGGCTTATGTATTTATTAATATAATGACACTCTAAGAAATGGGAATATTATTAGGTTACAAATTGTCTTGTGTTACTATTACCTAAAATTGTTGACTCCTTTGCAGTTATTATACCCTCTGCCAACGAAGTTAGTTAGGTGGGGGGGGGGGTTATACTGGAATACCCTGTCTGTCTGCCTGTCTGTCCGACACCAGCCTTGTGCGCAGATCTCCTCGAAAAGTACTGGACCGATTTCAACCATATTTGGTACACATCAGTACCCAAGTGCGTGCGTGCGTGCGTGCGTGCGTGCGTGCGTGCGTGCGTGCGTGCGTGCGTGCGTACGTGCGTGCGTGCGTGCTTGATGTTGTTCATGTTTCACTCTGCGTTTGCTTGCGCCTTCTGTGGCAGCTGATTTTTCCCATAACGCCGTTCGTTGACAAATTCTGCAATACACATACAGGCACCATAACAGCTCGAAGCGGGGGGGGGGGTATTATTAGTCCCTCTCTAGGACAATCATTCTAGTTGTTTCTACTAAGGTGAATCAACCGATTACTGTTTGACACATTTGCATTCAGTATAGCGGGTTATCTGTATGGCGGTGTAGTTTCTTGTGTATATTGGTTATTCATAGCAACTTGTGTCAAAATTTGTGACATATCTAGGCATGTTAGGGTTTAATGTTACATCACACATGTAATATTATTGCAGTATGTAAAGTCATTAAATAAGTTAATTCGGTCTGTAGATAATAGATCTATCTTGGTTAATTTTTACTCAACAGTGTTGATTCAAAACAAACTGCCGACGTTTCGCCTCCTATCAGGAGGCTTTCTCAAAGCTGACTGAAGTTATCAGTTTTGACCACCAGCTGGCGTAGTGGTCAACAGCTTGGTCCACAAGTAGGACGTAGACATCGTAGCTCCCAAATCTTTCACAAGGGCCCAACGAAAACAGTCGTCTACTGAAATAACCAAATCCGCGATCACGGTCCACGTAGCGACCGCCAATCACACCATCGATTTGGATAATTCGAAGATTACCGATCGCGAGCCAATCAAAATCAGGCGATGGATTAAGGAAGTCATCTGGATCCGCAAGACCCCGAACATCAACCGTGACGAGGGGGGAATACAGGCTTAGTCACGTGTGGACCAAGCTGTTGACTACTACACCATCTGGTGGCCAAAACTGATAACTTCAGTTAGCTTTGAGAAATCCTCCTGATAGGAGGCGAAATGTCAGCAGTACGTTTTGAATCTTCACTGTTGAGTAAAAATTAACCAAGATAGATCTAGTAAGTAATGTGTATTATTGCACATGTAATATTATTGCATATTATTGTAAAATGGTGATTTGAATATTTATTTGAACATGTATATAATAATAGCAGCTGTCATGGCAGCCTGGCAAAGTGCATATATCATCAGTGAATTGAAGAAAAATCTACAAGCAAATAATGCCACAATTCATACTGCATTGGATCTGCTGTAATGCTTAGTTACAGTTGCCAGTATGCAAACTAATCTTCTATGCTGTGTAATTCTATTTAATATGGGATCTCGTTATAAATAAGCAAAGTAGGTGCTAAAATTGAGCTAATTAAGTAGGTGCATAAACTGCACATATTTTGCTCATAACATCGTCCTTCATCTGTTGCTATCAGCAATTTCCAGATCCTACCAGCTAAGAAAATGTCCTCAAGATTACCTTTTTGGGAATGAAATGATACTTGCTTTTAAAAATTGCTTGTGTTAAGGAAGTCTGTAGCACTGGGAGGCTGATATGTCAACTGTATCCACAGCCAATCCAAATGATAAAAAGTGAATTACCTGTTGTGAGCCAGCACTCATTCATACTGTACGTAGTATATATATATATATATATTATATATATATATATATACATACATGTTATACACATATATATATATATTATACTGCTGTGAAATATAATAAGTAGGATATATTAGCCGGAATGTTGGATCAGTGCCTTAACTTGCCTGCCTGACTGCCTGACTGCCTGCCTGACGACCCGTCCTTCTATTTCGTGTCGACAGGATGAGAACGACAGCGACGGTAGCAGCGTGAAGTCGGAGAGCCTGAGCAGCAAGTCGGCGGGCAAGCACGCGGTGAAGGGCGGCAAGCGCTGCCAGGCACAGCGCTCGCTCACGCACACGCCGTCAATCGACATGTCCGAGGAAAGCAACAGCAGCTTCTCGAGCGTGAACCGCAACGTCGACGCGACACCCACCGAGTCTCAAGGTATGTTCTCGCAGAGAGCCAGCTCACGCACTCGCACTTAAGGTTTTGCCTTCCGTGAACGTTCCTCGAAGTGTAGACGATGAGACTGAATTGCCGTCATTGAGTCATTGAGAAGGGACGTTGATATATAGAGTATGTTATTAGTTATCGAAGCGTAGAGTGTGTCGTAACAAAATAAAGTCGACATGTTAGTGGGGTTTTGAAGGTTTAGCATTCCGAAGTGTAGACGATATACAACGAAGAACGAATTGCTGTTGTTGAGTTGGTTAGTGGCAATAACTCAAGAAGATGAAAGACTGCAGTGCTTCTTAAAAAAACTGCTGAATGGTTTACCCAAGGGTGAATGAAATTATTTTGGGGTGAATGAAAATTACCAAAAACATAAGGAAATTTAGTCACGGGTGCATGAAATTTTGTGATAAAGATACGAGGGTGAATGACAAACGACAAATGGAAATAGTGTAAGAAGCACTGCGAGTATGTTATTAGTTATCGATATCGTAGAGTGAGTCGTCGTGAAATGGAGCCGAAATTCTAAAGCAAACTGTTTTACGACTGCAGAGAACAGCCACATGCACGTGGAGCAGGGAAGATCCTCCGAGCTGACGGAGGAGTGGTCCGGCTCTGATGCATCACTGTTCCGCGCAGAGCAAGGCGTCTTCTTCTCCAACTACTGTGCCATCGCCACAGTACTAAAGACTAAAACCTGCAGACAGGTACAATATATCAACTTATACAATATACAATCTACAATATACAGTATAAAATATACATATACAGGTGCATTATTATGTTATTATTGTTTGTTATATTTCCATGAGTACTAGAACGTAATTATTCATTATTTGCTGGTTACCATGGTAACTATTTGTAATATGCATGGTTAAAAACTTTGTTCATGATATATGGGTGAATGTGTGTGTTTATATATGAAACTAGTGTGACAGCAGTTACTTGGTGTACCTGTATTTCAATTGATTGATCGCTTAAGAAAAAGATGTTTACAAAACATGTCCGTGATTAGTACTTGGCAGTCTGTGTATTTTGCAACGGACCGTAATTAGCTGTTAATTTGGTCTATTAAGTACCGTGGCTCTCCGTGTGTTTTGCACCATTTATGTGTTTAGTCCATGTTTTATCCATTTTTTAGCTCACCTTGACATCGTCAAGTTGAGCTATTGCCATGGGTCGTCGTCCGTCGTACGTCCGTCCGTCCGTCGTCAACATTCTTGGTTTCGGTCACGTAATCAGGAACCGTTTGACCCACATGTTTGAAATTGGTTGTAGTTGTTACTGCTATGCTCCCATATGGAACTTTCTTTTGAAGCACGCCAGTCGAGTACTTTCGAGCCACGGCAATATTTTGGCAAAAATGGGAATTGCCATTTGTCAGTTCAGTTCAACGGATTTTGCTCATTTTTGGTATGTGAATGAATAGGGGTTTTGATATTTAAAAAAAAATTATGCAAATTAGGTTGGGTTTGGCAATTATATAGCATATTATATAAACACAAACAGTCTGTGGTGTCACACTCGTCTGGTTCGTTTTACAAGATTTCATTGACAATATCTTTAATGCAAAATGGTATTTCCTTTCCACTCTGCCGCATAAAACGTCTATATTAGAGTAAAGATTTACAAAACATGTCGGAACGCAGCATAACCTATTTATTTCAAGCGCCATCGCTACAAAGTGGGTATAGCGCCATCTACGGTCACAAATTGTGATTCATTTTGGTTTATAAATTATTATTGCGATATACAGATGGCAATCGTTTCTATAATGTACGTCGATGGTTGCTCAATTAAAACTCAATTCTTCTTACTCACTCATTTGTGTCCTTTTTTGTGGTGAGCTACAGTGTCATTGACACTTTCATCTCATTTCATAATGTACAATATCCAGATGCATTACATTCTAACATATACATCATTGCTTCCTTCCACCGAAAAGGTTTATGAATTTGCACAAAAGGAGGCAGCCGACATCGTTCACACAGACACAGACTGGGAAATAACGCCACCTAGGAAGAAAAAGCGAAAACACAGGTAAAGATCAAACTGTTTATGATAGCACTCTGCAAAAAAGGCTATGTCAAGTCTTGTAATTTTGACATCGTTTATAAAATTGTGCAGAATCTGTCTTGAATATTCATTATTTTCATTTTTCATTATATTATTCATTATATTCATTATATTCATTATTCATTATTCATAATCTGTCTTGAATATTCATGAACATTAGTTTCATCACGTCTATGTTCATATATTTCTCTTTTTTTACTTTCTAGGCTCTGGTCAATGCATTGTCGCAAGATACAGCTGAAGAAGGACAATTTGGCCAACAAGGTTTACAACTACACACCTTGTTATCATCCTGGCAAGGCGTGCGATAACGACTGCTGCTGCATTATGACGCAAAACTTCTGTGAGAAATTCTGCCGCTGCTCATCTGACTGTAAGTGAGCCCAGCAAGCAGCTTGCATACGTTAGCTCAGGGGTGATTAATGACAAATATGTCATACTTGTCAGTGAATCTATGTCATATGTAGGATATATGTCGTAATAGATCAGGAGTGATTCACACCGTGAATAATAACAGATATATGACAAATATTTGTCATTACTCACCCCTGATACGATGTGTGTTGAGGGAAGATGCAATTGATAAGTGTATACGGGTTTGTGTAATGCATGTTAGCTGAAACCGAATTTAGTTATTAACCTAAGTTTCAGCTTATTGCTGCTTGTCTTTGTTATGGACGCTGCGAATCACCAAGCGGATTTCAAATGCAATGGACCGGAGTCGTTTGCATATATTTGTGTTGATCTTTTCCCATGAGTTTCAAAATCTGTCCGAACTGCTTCCCAATGCGTAAATCGATGTGCCCTGTTTTCATTTCCATTTGTTGAGCAGCCCCTGTGTTTCGCTATACTCTTGATATGTCTAGGACAGAACCAGTGCTAAGGTCTGAGTGCCCTGTTTTTATTTCTGCATATTTAGCAGTGCCTGTGTTTCGCTATACTCTCGATGTCTGCAGGTCAGAACCGATGATAAGATCGACGTCACCTGTTTTTGTTTCCGTGTGTTGAGCGGTTGCTACATGTTTCACTATATATATATATGTATGCTCTCAGCGTACGCAGGACTGAACCAATGCTAAGATCGAGGTCACCTGTTGTTAAGCAGTCGCTACATGTTTCACCATGCTCTCGACGCGTGCGCAGGACTGAACCAATGCTAAGATCGAGGTCACCTGTTGTTAAGCAGTCGCTACATGTTTCACCATGCTCTCGACGCGTGCGCAGGACAGAACCAATGCTAAGATCGAGGTGCCCTGTTGTTAAGCAGTCGCTACATGTTTCACCATGCTCTCAGCGTATGCAGGACAGAACCAATGATAAGATCGACGTCACCTGTTTTTATTTCCGTGTGTTGAGCGGTTGCTACATGTTTCACTATGCTCTCAGCGTACGCAGGACTGAACCAACGCTAAGATCGAGGTGCCCTATTGTTAAGCAGTCGCTACATGTTCCACCATGCTCTCAGCGTACGCAGGACTGAACCAATGCTTAGACCGAGGTGCCCTGTTGTTAAGCAGTCGCTACATGTTTTACCATGCTCTCGACGTTTGCGCAGGTCAGAACCGCTTCCCTGGCTGCCGCTGCAAGGCGCAGTGCAACACGAAGCAGTGTCCCTGCTTCCTCGCTGTGCGCGAGTGCGACCCCGACCTCTGCCTGACGTGCGGCGCCAATGTCTTCGACACGGACAACATCGCCTGTAAGAACGTCAGCGTGCAGCGCGGCCTCAGGAAGGTTTGTGCGGCGAAAACGACGTCGAAATTATGAATATGAGCCAAGTAACCTATACCGGTAAATAGCACGTGCAATAACCTATACGGTAAATGCACGGCAATAATCTATATTATGGTAAATAGCACAGCAATAACCTATACGGTAAATAGCACCGGCAATAATCTATATATGTGTAAATAGCACTAGCAATAACCTATACCGGTAAAAGCACCGGCAATAACCTATACGGCTAAATAGCGTTGGCAATAACCTTACTACGGCTAAATAGCGTCGCCAATAACTATACGGTAAATACGTGGGCAATAACCTCCGCCCATACAGTAAGATAGACGTAGCAATAAACCTATTCGGTAATAGTCGGCGCGAATAACCTATACGGCGTAAAATAGCACGGGCAGATAACCTATTCGTAATAGGCACGGCAATTAAACCTGATACGGTAAAAGCACAGCAATAACCTATACGGTAAATAGCAGGCAATAAACTATACGGTAAATAGCGTTGCCAATAATCCTATACGGTAATAGCACGGCCAATAACTATACGGGTAAGTAGCGCCGGCAATTAACCTATTCCCGGTTAAATAGCACGGCATAAACCATATTCCGTGTAAATAGCACGGCAATAAGGGCGGCTATTCTGGTAAATAGCACGGCAATAACCTATACGGTTAAATAGGTTTTAAATTAACGTGCAGATAAACCTATACCGGTAAATAGCACAGCAATAACCTATTACGGTAAAATAGCCGCTGGCAATAACTATACGGTAATTAGAACGGCAATAACCTATACTGCGTAATAGCGTGCAATAACTATACGGTAAATACACGGCCAATAACCTTATTCGGTAAGATTAGCGTGGCAATAACCTATACGGTAAAATAGCACGGCAATAACCTATACGGTAAATAGCGTGGCAAGTAACCTATTCGCGGTAAATAGACGCAATAACCTATACGGTAAATAGCGTGCCCAATACCTATTACGGTAAATAGCACGGCAATAAACCTATTCCGGTAAACTAGGCTCGATGGCAGATAACCTATCACGGTCAAATAGCCACGGCAATAACCTATACTGCGTTAAATAGCACGGCAATAATCTATATATGGTAAATAGCACAGGCAATAACCTATCACGGTTAAAGAGCACGGCAATAACCTATACGGTAAATAGCGCGGCAATTTAACCTATACGGTAAATAGCGTGGCAATACCTATACGCCCGTAAAATGCACGGCCAATAAACCTATTACGCGTAAATAGCACCGCAATAAACCTATACGTAAATAGCGTGGCAATAACCTATACCGGTAAATAAGCACGGCAATAACCTATACGGTAAATAGCACGGCAATACCTATACGGTAAATAGCACCCGCAATATCTATATATGGTATAAATAGCCAACACAGCAGATCAACTATACGGTAAATAGCACGGCCAAACCTAATTACGGTAATAGCGTGGCAATAACCTATACGGTTTAAATAGGTGGCAATAAACCTTATTACAGTAAATAGCGTGTTAGCAATAACCTATTCGCGTAAAATAGCCACGGCAACTAACCCTATTCGGTAAATAGCGTGGCAATAACCTTATACGCGTAAATAGGTGGCAAATAACCTATACCGGTGAGATAGCGTGGCAATAAACCTATACGCGGTAATAGCACGGCAACTAACCTATACCGGTAAATAGGCGTGGCAATAACCCTATATGGTTAATAAATAGCCGGCAATAACCTATACGGTAAATGCGTGGGCCAATTAACCTATTACAGCTAAATAGCACGGCCATAACCTACTACGGTAAATAGCGTGGCAATAACCTATACGGTAATAGCAGCGGCCAATAACTATACGGTAATCGTGGCGACATAACTATACGGTAAAATAGCACGGCAATTAACCTATACGTAAATAGCGTGGCCAATAACCTATACAGGTAAATAGCCACAGCAATAACTTCATACGGCGTAAATAGGCACGGGCAATACCTATACGGTAAATAGCCGAAAACAATAAACCTATCTGGTAAATAGCGTGGGCAAGAACTTATACGGTAAATAGCGTGCGCATAACCTATACGGTAAATAGCACGGCAATAACCTATACGGTAAATAGCGTTGGGCAATAACCTATACGGGTAAATTAGCCACAGCCAATAACCTATACGCGTAAATAGCACGAACAATACCTATACGCGTCAAATAGCACGGCAATACCTTACGGTAAATGCACAGCAATAAACCGTATACGGTACAATAGCACGGCAATACCTATACGTAAATGCACGGCATAACCTATTCGGTAAATAGCACGGCAAATAACCCTATACGGTAAATAGCCACGGCAAATCAACCTATACGGGTAAATAGCACAGCAATAACCTATACGGCGTAAATAGCCACGGCAATAAAACCTAACGGTACAATAGACGGCCAGATAACCTATACCGTAAATAGCCGTGGCCAATAACCTATACGGGTAAATAGCACGGCAATCAAACCTATACGGTAAAAGCGTGCAATAACCTATACGTAAATAGCCACAGCAAATAACCTATACGGGTAAATAGCGTGCAATAACCCTATACCGGTAAATAGCACGGCAATAACCTATACGGTAAATAGCGTGGCAAAACCTATACGGTAAATAGCACGGCAATAACCTATACGGTAAATAGCACGGCAATAACCTATACGGTAAATAGCACGGCAATAACCTATACGGGTTAAACTAGCACGGCAATAACTTATACGGGTCTAAATAGCACGCATCAAACCTATACGTTAAATAGCGTGGCCAATAAGCCTATATGGTAAATTAGCGTGGCCAATAACCTATACGCGTAGAATAGCGTGGCAATAACCTATACGGTAAATAGCGTGTGCCAATAACCTATAACGGTAAATAGCACGGCAATAACCTATACGGTAAATATAGCGTGCAATTAACCTATATGGTAAATGCGTTCGGCCCAAAACCTATACGGTAAAATAGCGTGGCATAAAACCTATATGGTAAATAGCGTGGCAATAACCTATACGGCGTAAATAGCGTGGCAATACTACTAGTGGGTAAATGCGTGGCAATCAACCTAGTACGGTAATAGCGTGGCAACTAACCAATACGGGTAAATAGCCCACAGCAATAACCTATAACCGGTAAATAGCACGGGGGCAAATAACCTATAGCGGTAAATAGCACGGCCAATTAACTATACGGTACAATAGCCGGCAACTAACCTATTCGGTAAATAGCACCGGCAATAAACCTAATACGGTAATAGCGTGGCAAATACCTATATGCGTAATAAGCACGCGAATAACCTATCGGTAAACTGAGCACCGGCAATAACCATATACGGAAAATAGCGTCTGGCATAACCTAATATGGTAAATTAGCGTGGCAATAACCTATTTACGGCGGTAAATTAGCGTAGCAATTAACCTATTCGCGTAAAATAGCGTGGCAATAACCTATACGGTAAATAGACGGCAATAACCTATACGGGTAATTAGCTGGCCAATAACCTATATGGCTAAATAGCGTGGCAATAACCTCAATACGGTAATAGCGTGGCCAATAACCTATATGGTAAATAGGCGTGGCAATAAACCTATACGGTAAAATAGCGTGGCAATAACCATATATGGTAAAATAGCCGTGGCAATAACCTATACGGTAATAGGTCAGCAATAAACCTATACGGTAAATAGCACAGCCAATAACGCTTACGGTAAATAGCCACGGCAATACACCTATACGGTAAATGGTAGCACGCAATAACCTAGTCGGTAAATAGCACGGCAAAACCATGATAGGTAATTAGCGTGCAATAACCTATACGGTTAAATAGCGTCCCAATAACCTATTACGCGTAAACTAGCGTGCAATAACCTATACGGTAAAATAGCCACGGCAATACCTTATATCGCGTAAAGGTAGCGTGGCCCAAATAACCTCTATGGTAAATAGCGTAGCAATACGTATATGGTAAAATAGCGTAGCAACTAACCTATTCTGGTAATAGCACGCGCAATAACCTATACGGTAAATAGCTGGCAATAACCTATACGCGGTAAATACGCTGCAAATAACCTATACGGTTAATAGCGTGCGCCAATAACCTATACGGTAATAGCCCGTAGCAATTAACCTATAACGGTAAATAGCACGAGCAATAAACCCTATATGGTAAATAGCGTGGCACATAACCTATATGGTAAATAGGCGTGGCAATAACCTATATGGTAAATAGCGTAGCAATAACTATTCGGTAAATAGCAACGGCCAATAACCATACGGTAAATAGGTGGCAAATAACCTATATCGTAAATAGCGCGGCAATAACCTAATTCGGTAATAGCGTGCAATAACCTATACGGTAAATAGCGTGGCCAACTAACCTATATTTGTAAATAAGCAGTGGGGCACATAAACCTATACCGGTAGAATAGCACGGCAATAAACCATATGGTAAATAGCGTGCAAATAACCTATACGGTAAATCAGCGTTGCAATAACCTATACGTAAAATAGGTGGCAATAAACCTATATCGGAAAGAGTGCATAACCATTACGTAATCCTT